TCTTGCCGGACCAGGACCTGTTGACCGTGTAGAAGATCCTCTGGATGACCTGCAGGGCAGATGGGTCAGCGCGGGAGGCTGCCGAGTTCTGGCCAGCAACAGGGGGCGGCCCAGGCCCATGGCTTGCAGACGGCTGGGTGCTGGAGGCGGAGGGTGGCCTCCGATGCAACCGCCCGAGTGCTCTCAAGCGGGAGTCCCGTCGCGTTGGGCGGCCCTCTGCTATGCCGAGCAGGCCCCGTGCGGGTGTCTGGCAGTGAGCACCGGGGCGGGACCCAGGGCCCAGGGCCAGGCCAGCGCCCTCCACCCAGCCGCAGCCCAGCCCTTTGGGTTTTAAGTGAGGCGGGGTCTAAATTGCCTGCTGGGTGCCACCCGAGCACCCTCCTGCCTTGGCCTCCAGGGGAACCGTTCAGGGTGGGGCGGGGCTGCCTCCTTGCCACTGCGGCCCGGCCCCGTGTGCCCCTGCTCGGATGCGGGCTCCCCCGGAGCCGGCGCCACTCACCGTGGTGATGTAGCGCGAGTGGAACTCGGACGCCTCCTTCAGGAAGGCCAGGCCAGGGTGCGTGTTCACCACGTCCTGTGGGCAGGGCAGACACGGCCGAGACTGAGCCCAGCCGCATCCGGGGGCAGCCCTGTTCGGAGGTGGGGGGGTGGGGTCGCTCACCTGCAGGAAGGGCACGAAGTCCTCCTGCGCCAGGTAGCTGCAGCCCGGGCTCGCCAGCAGGTGCACGAAGCGCGCCGCGTCGTCGTAGCAGGTCTGCAGGACCCTGGGGGCCACAGGTGGCTGCCAGGGGCCCTGGGAAGTGGGGGCCTGGGGGGGAGGAGTGGGGCAGGACAGGACAGGACGCCCCGCCCGGCCCGGCCCAGGACTCACTTCCGCCACATGGCCACGAACTTGTGCACCGACACGGAGCCGGTGCGCTCGCCGCCCGCGCCGTAGAACAGCGGTCCCTTCCAGTACAGCGGGCAGCCGCAGGCCTGAGGATGCGCGAGGGTTAGCGGCCCGCACCCCGACCCGCCCGGCCTCCCGAGCCCCATGGAGCAGGGGCCCTGGACACAAACTGGCCTGGTCCCTGTGCAAGATGGCGATGACTAGGGCACCCGCGCCCGCACCCAAGGGAAGGAGAGCAGAAGTCACGGGGCAAGGGCTCGGGAAAGGCAGGGAGCAAGGAAGAAAAGGCCGAGCCCAGTGGTACACGCCCGTTGTGCCGGTACCCCTGAGGCTGAGGCAGGAGGATCTCCAGAGGGAGGGAAGGGCACTGGCTAGATGCACAAAGGCCTGGGTCCCAGCCGGGTTAGAGCAAGACAGACGCAATGCAGAGCGGACATGGAGGGGAGCAGCCGAGATCGCAGAGCTGCTGGCCTCTCAGCGGCTGGCCCTGGCCAAGCCACGGGCACGCGGATGAGACAGGAGGCTGCCCTGGCTCCCGGTGGTGGGCGTGCCCTGCGTCCCGGACCCTGCGCCATCCCCGCGCACGGCCCCTGCAGGCAGTGTCACCAGGGCTCTGGTAGCAGCGGAGCTCAGCCACCAGGACTGGGCACCACGCCCTGCAGTCTGCCAGCCACCCGGGCTGTGGGTTTCCCGTTCTCACCCTTCGGACGAGGGCACAGGTGCCAGGGAAAGCCCACAGGAAGCGCAGCAGCGCCAGCCCTGTGCTGGGGGGCCAGGACCCCTTCATATCCCTGGGCTGCAGGCCCCTCAGGGCAGCCAGCGGGCAGGAGAAAACAAGCGGACTCTGGGATTGGAAGAAAGAGGCGGCGTGGTGGCAGCTCTGAGGCCTGTGAGGCCAGCTCAGAGGCTGGAGAAATCCGCTCTCCTCTCTGTGCACCAAACCGGCTGTGGCCCCCATGCCCGGCAGGCAAGCCCAGGGCTGCCTGGGCCCCGTTTCCAGGGGATGGGGAGGTGGCCCCGTGGCGGGGCTGGGCATGGCTGGTGTGCAGCGGAGGACGGTGCACGAGGCATCCGTGTGGGCGGCTGCCATGTGCGGGAACACGGCCACGCGGGGTGCGGCACCTCAATGCTCTGCGGCAGAGGTGCCGACCCAGCTGTGTTCCCAGTGCCGCGGGAGGCTGAGGCAGGAGGAGCCCCAGGCTGAGCGCAACCTGAGTGGGAAAGTACTGAGGCGCCCTGGCTCAAAATGCAAAGAGCTAGGGCTGCAGATGCAGCTCGGTGTGGAGGCCCTGGGTTCCGCACCCAGGACCAAAGTGCTGGGGGGACTCGGGGCGGGGCCGTGGGGCCCGGGGGCCCTCGCAGGGCGCGTGTGGGCCGCAGAGGCTTGGGATTCGAACCCCAGGCCCAGCAGGGTCAGCCCTGCCGAGACCCCGCCAGGACACGGGGCGCCTCCAGGGCGGGAGAGCTGCAGCCCGGGCCTCGGTGTGGGCCGTGCGAAGCAGCACTCGCCAGCAAGAAAATAACCACTTAAACGGGCACAGGGCCGGGCGTGGCGGGCATGCCTGTCACCCCACAGGGGAGGCTGAGGCAGGAGGATCGCTGTGGGTTCAGGGCCAGCCTGAATTACACTGCCAGACCCTGCCTCAAAGAAAGAAAATTAATACGAAGAAAATCGGCACGTGATCCACACCGGTGCATCGCGGAAGAGGCTAGGGGACTGCAAAGGGGGTCGGAAAGATGCTCAGGCCGGGCGGGATGGCGCACGCCTGTCACCCCAGCACGGGAGGGGCAGGAGGGTGGCTGTGGGTTCAAGGCCAGCCTGAGCTACACAGCGAGACCCTGTCTCAAAAATGAAAGCTTCTACGTAGAAAACCGTTCGTTGCACGTTCCGGGGAGAAACTGAGCAGGGTCTGAACAGCTGTGGACGCTGCAGGCCGAGCGAGCCCCTCCGGGAAGGTGCGGATTCGCCCCTCGGCGGGACTGAGGCAGCTCCCAGCCCGCACAGAACCCAGGGCCTCCCTGGAAGGAACCTGAAAGCAGGTGCAGAACTGCGAGGGTCACACGAGGCTGCAGGGAGACGCTGAGGCGGCAGGGTGCAGGTGCAGGAGCGGGCAGCCGGGCCCCACACCCACCTTGGCCACCTGGCCCATGTCCGCGGCCGTGGCCCTCTCGTGGGGGAGCCGCGCGAAGGCACCCTCGACCCTGGCGATCTCGGCGTCCACGTCGGTGGCGTCCCGGGGCCGGCCGCGGGGGAAGTAGAAGGCGGGCACGCTTGGGCTGCGCGGCGGCCGTGGCCGCGGCTCCTCCGCCTGGGCCTGCGCCTGCACGGGGAGGGGGACAGCGGTCACCTGCCTCCCGCTGCTCAAGCCCACAGGGTCAGCGCCCGGGCGGCCTGCGGAGAGCACAAGTCCCTCGCTCGCGCCCGTCCTGCCCGCTTCCTCCTGCCTCAGCCTCCCCCCAGGGGGACACAGAAGCACAGACACACGCACGCGCACACACACACACGCACACGGCTCAGTGAGCGCTGCGCACGCTGTGCGGGCCCCGTCGGCCGCAGCCACACAGGCCCTGTCCAGGGGCGGACCCCCCCCCCCGCCCGCGGTCCCAGGCAGCGGCCTCGGGACAACAGATGCCCCCGACCCCACCCACCCCAGCGGCTGGAGGCCCGGACACACGGCCCTGTGCCCCGGGCAGTCAGTCTGGGGACCCGGTCCGGGGTCCGCAGCGGCACCCACAGGCCGGCAGAGTCAGCTCTGCGGTCCGGGCCGCCCGCGGACAGAGCCGGTCCCCTGGGGGAGGCAGGGACCCCACGCCGCACCCGGGACACTGACAGCCGGACGACCCGAGCCCCTCCAGCCCGTCTGGACGTCCGCAGACCCGGTCCCGGGGACCCCGCAGCCGGACACCGGGACCGGACGGGGCGGCCGGCAGGTGGCGCCCGCGGCAGCCCAGGAAGCAGGGTTTGCGCTTAATCCAAGACAGAAATAGACGCGCAGCTGCGGGCTGGGGCCGGGATGCGGCTGGGGCTGGCCTGAGGTGGGGATGGGGCGACCCGCCCGCCCACGCTCCTGCGCGCTCGCCCCACGCGCCCGGCCGCAGCTCCGGTCAGCGCCACTCCGGGACCGGCCTGACCAGCGCCGAGGGTCAGCGGGGCGCCCCGGGCACCGGCCTCCCCCCCCCCGGCCCTGGGGAGCGGGGTCCCCGGGGTGCAGCTCCGGCACAGGAGTGTCCTGGGCACAGAGCGAGGGCGCCTGGGCCTGCAGGGGCACCGAGGCCGTAGCAGGAGCCCTGCTCTGCAGGCCCGGGATCCGCCTCGGGAGGCTGAGGCGGGAGGATGCGAGTCTGAGGCCAGGCTGGGCTGCACAGCGAGAGCACCTTTCAAGGAACGAACAGCAGCAACACTCGGACAGGACGGGGTTCCCATATGAAACCTGGCCTGGGCGGAAGGAGCCGCACCCTGAGGCGGGAGCCCCACCCGCCCACACGGTGACCCCCAGGAGGAACTGAACCCCACACACGTGACCCCGACCACACACGGGATCCTGGGCCCCCCGACTACCAACCCCGGGCACCACCGGGACGCCTAACCACCGGGGTTGGGTGGGGAGGCCTGACAGCCCGCACTGGACCCTGGGACCCTCGACACCCCGCACTGGCAGCGGGGACCCCCACGATGAAAGTGGCTTCACGCCTCCCGCCACGGGCTCCCGGCAGCTGCGCTCCTGGGGAGGCCAGCAGAGGTGACGTTGAGGACACGCTGCTCTACAAGGGCGGCGCACGCTGTCAGCCAGCACTCGGAGGCTGAGGCAGGAGGGTCCGGGCACACGCTGCAGGCAGCCTGGGCTCCTCAGAGCTCAGGGCCGTGCAGAGGCCCCGCGAGGCGCCCACGGGTCCCAGGGCTGCCTGCCGGGCACACACGGCGGCGGGCAGAGGTGACATTGCCCTCGCTCCCGCTCCTCGGCCGCCCCGCCTGCCCCGCCGGGGTCCGCGTCCCTCCGTCCCGCGAGGTCTCCGCTCCCAGCCCCGCGGAGAGGCGAGAGGCGTCCACGTCCCACCCGCCTGTCCGCCCGCCGACCTGCTGGAAGGCCTTGAGCCTCTTCTTAAAGCGCGAGGGCAGCACGAAGTCGCAGCCGCGGGCCAGCGCGGCCAGTTCGCGCCGCAGGTCCGGGTCCGGGTGCAGACGCGTGGCCTCGCGCGGGGGCCTCCGGGGGCCGCGCTCCGGGCTCCCCGGGCTCGGGGCGCGGGGCCTCTCGGGGCGGCCGTCAGCGCGCTCCATGCGGGGCCGGCCGGGTGCCCAGGGACCCGGGCCTCGCGCGCTCCACAGGTGGCCGCAGGGGGCGCATGGCGGCGGCGGTGCCGAGCTGCGGGAGGCCCGGTCCCCTCCCGTGTCCCCTACGGCGGCGGCGCCCGAGCTCTGCTCCTGCTCCGGGACGCGCCCGCCCGGCGCAAGGAGCGGCAAGTGGGGCCATGTCACGTGGTGGTGGTGGGGGAGGCGCCCCCCTCCCCCCCGCAGGCTCAGCCCGGTGCAGACCGGGCGGGGCCTGACCACACCCACCCCCCACTCCGGCCCCGCCCCCTGGCGATCACACTTTTCCCAGCCGTCTGCTGTCTGGCGCAGGAGCAGCCCGGGCACGTCCCCAACGCCCGAGCCCCGCACATGGCTGGGGTCCCCGCGTCTCCACGGGCGGGAAAGGCGTGCGCAGCCCCCAAATCCTGCGCTCCGTGGCAAAGCCGCACCCGATCCTAGCTCTTTGGGAGGCTGAGGCAGGAGGAGTCCCAGTTCCACCCCAGCCCCGCAACCTCGAGACCCCGAGACCTCAGAATGAAGAAGACCAAGGGCTGGGGCGCAGCGGGCAGGACAGCGCGCAGACGGCACAGAAGCGCCCTGGGCTTCGGCTTCGTCTGCCCCGCCCACTCGCACCTGGCGGGAATCTCGCGCCCCGCAGGCCGCCCCCCCCAGCTCCTCTCCCCTCCGCCCCGCCACACAGGGCCACGGAGCTGCACGCCAGCCCCGCTGCATTTCCATACAGGGGCTAAGGGGCTAAGTTGGCCAGGCTGGGCTCGACCCTGGGGTCCTCCTGCCTCAGCCTCCCACCCTGCTGGGAGACCAGGGTGGGCGCCGTTATGCAGGGCTCCAAGTGTTGCATTTTTAAGTCACCACTTACCCACGGGGCAGGCACACACTGCGGCCGTTCAGCCTGGCAGCTGGCAGCACACACAGCGGCGGGCACGGGCCTGTGCTGGGGATCAGAGGGCCCGGGCTGCTGTGGGACGTGGGGCACAGTGCACACCGAGGCTCTGATCGCCTTGGGCGCCCGTCCCGGCCGCACTCAGGGGCCTGGCCCCGGCCTGCCGTGGGGGGCACAGCCTCCGGGCCCCGACGCTGGCGGAGGAAGCCGAGACTAGCGGCTCTGCTGAGGAAAAGGCACCTAGATGGACAGCAGAGCGGCGCGGGGAGGGGACCTGTGGCTGCCGGGAGCCCACGGCAGGGCTGGAGCGTGGGGAACCCACGAAAGACCGCGTCTCACTGCGGCTGGCCGTGCTCAGGCCAAGGCGACAGGTGGATCCGCGGAAGGCGAAGAGAGGGCGTGCAGAAGCCCGGGGCTCAGGTCTCCCCGCACCCAGGACAGCCCCGTCCACACACACAGGACAGCGAGTCAGAGAAGGGACGCGAGCGGCCGTGGAGGGTGACAGCTCGTTCCCCGCCGCAGGGGGAAATGCGAGTCAGAACCACAGGAGAGCCCGCAGGCCTGCGGGGCGGCTGTCCTGGACAACACAGGTCAGCGCCAGGGCGCGGGAGGGGAGGCGTCTACCCTGCCACGGGAACCAGGGCAGCCGCCGGGGACCAAAACGACAGGGAGAAATTCCACTGGGCCCAGCGAGTCCAGGCCGCGGCACACGCGGTACGCACCCGACGACTGGGGTCAGGATCCCAGGCACAGCCATGTTTATTGAGGTGCAGCTCACAAGGGCCCGGATACAGAGCCGGCCCAGGTGCCCACCGACAGATGAACAGATGAGAAAATGTAGTGTGCATATGCAGTGGAGTGCTAGGCAGCCCCGGAGGGGAAAATGCACCACCACAATAAACAAGAGAGCCAGACTCAGAGTCAAATGCCGAGTTCTCTCTCTCAGGTGGAGCCAGGACGGAGGAGGAGGGAGAGTGGGGTGCGGCGGTGGAAGGGGGCTGCTGGGGAAGAGCAGGACGAGGAGGGCAGAGGGAGGGGCAGGGTGCCGGACACAGGCGGGCAGGCCCAGGGGACAGGACGGCGCGAGGCAAGTCCCGCTGCCGGGCGGGACAGCACCCTAACCGGGCTCCCTCCCGACGCCGGCGGCCCGCAGGCCATGCTGCCCCTCGAGTCAGGGGGCCCGGCGTCCCCCACGAGCCCCCAGGTGCCGGCCTGGCCTGGCTCCTCAAGCTGATCCAAGCAGCTCCGCAGCTGTGCGCGTGCCGGCCCGAGTCCTGCCCCTGCTGCCCGCCCCAGGGCGGTGCCTCAGTCCCCACCACGGCCACTTCCAGTCCTGTCTGAAGGAGAATCCCAGCACTCGGGGAGGCCAAGGCAGGAAGAGCCCCAGATCCAGCCCAGCCTGCACTGCTCAGCGGCTCAGTGAGACCCCGACTCAAAGCAAAAACAAGGAGATTCTGGGTCCGATCCCCAGTACTGCAAACAGAGTCAGACAGAGCCATTAATGCGTTCAATAAAAGGGGCCGGGACTGCAGCTCCGCAGAAAGGCCTGGCTCCCAGCCCTGCGCTGCAAATCGCCCCAGTGAGTGCGGGGCGCTCAGGGCGGGTCGCGGGCCCCAGTCCCAGACACAGCTGAGGGCGAAGCCGGCCCTGGGGCCCCTTCTTGCCTTCCCCATGGGGACCCACAGTGGACACTCGGGTTAGGACCAGCCTGACATACGAACCTCTTGAGCTACGACTGGAATTTTACTTTTAACTGACGACCAAAGTCTTGAGTTACGACTCCAGTGCTGGCCGCTCGTGCTCCCAGATGGGCTCAGGTGCAGACTGAACCCTAAAGCGCTCTGGAAGGAACAGGACAGCGTCCTCTCCTGTGTGGGGCTCACTGAGCAGTCCCGGGCCGGGGTCTCTCAGGACCCTGAGCTCTGCCTGTGGGCAGCAGAGAGGCACTGATGTCTGTGAAGGGGCTGAGCCTCCACTGACCGACCTGAGTCACAACCAGCCCTGGGGAACGGATTGCGTTCATAAGTCAGGGGTCCCCTGTGCTTTCCGGAACACGGTCTAGCACATGGCAGACAACCACCGGTCCCTCAGAAGCCCAGGCCTCTCCCTGGACTGACACCTGCCATGGGGCATTTTGCACACGGTCTGGAGGGACTAGGGCCCGCACATGCCCACCACGACGCCTGTGCTGCTGGGAACCCGGGAATCATGACATGCAAGTCCCGGCAGAGCCGTCGCAGGTCCCTCGTGCATTCATCTCAACACACCAGGCCAAGAACAGCCAGCCGCGCCTTCCTGCACGACCTAAAGGTTCCCCTGTGAGCTGACACAGAACCGAATGGCAGAAGCTGCCTTCATAGTACTGCTGCGGACAGAACCCGGGGGGCCTCCTGAATGCTGCACCTTGTTTTTAAACACACTGCTGTCACTGGTGGCACACACCTCTCATCGTGGGCTCCACAGGAGGCTGAGGCAGAAGGATCCCAACTTCCTGCCCAGCCTGGGGGACTTAGTGATTTAGCAAGACCCTGTGTCAAAATAAAAAGCAAAGAGGGCTGGGGGTGGAGCTCAGTGTGACAGTGCTGAGTTCAATCCCCAGTAACCCCTACCACCAGCAAATAAACAAATTGCTGACTGCTGAGGCGGAGTGTGGTGGCCCCCACTTGTCATCCCAGCCCTCGGGGAGGCTGAGGCAGGAGAATGGCAAGTTAGAGTGCAGCCTGGGCAACTTAGCGAAACTGTCTCAGAGTAAAATAAGTAAAAGGGTCGGGGATGCATGAAAGGCCTGGGTTCGGTCCTCAGTAGTCAGCACTAAAATAAACACACACACACACACACGCACACACACGCACAAGCGGCTGCTGCGGGGTGCACTGGCACACACCGGTCATACCAGCACTCTGAGAGGCTGAGGCAGGAGAATGGCAAATCTAAGCCTGGGCAACTTGGTGAGATCCTGTCCCAAAATAAAGAATGAAAGGGGCTGCAGACGTAGCTCAGTGGAAAGGCCCTGGTTCCATCCCTAGGACCACAAACACCACCACCACCACTCCCTTCTAGCTAACCTCCCTCAGTACCACCGATGCACCGGGAATCCACCCTCTAGGCTCAGCACAAAAGCCGAGCGGAGCCACAGCCAGCGGGCAAACCCGGACACACTGCCTCTGGGGTGCGGTCAAGGGTAGCAGCCGGGTGCGATGGCGCAGGCCTGTCATCCCGGCACTCGGGATGCTGAGGCAGGAGGGTCACCGAGTTCGAGGGCAGCCCGGGCTGCACAGTGAGGTCATCTCAAAACAAACAACTGCAGAGCGAGGGGGAGTAGGACTCGGGGCCGCGTCCCCCACTCTGGGATGACGGGACTTACGGATCGGGGCCCCGCGGACCTGCGGGCGGCAGGCGGCGCGAGCGGCAGCGCGGGGCTGGCGAGCTGGGCGGGGGTCCCGGGCCCGGCGGGCGCGTCCCCGGCGCCCAGCTCGGCGCGGCCCGACGCCTGGATGCGGCGCAGCCCGTCCTGCAGCATGCGCTGCGTGCCCGCCTCGCTCAGCCAGCACAGGAACAGCTCGTCCACCTTCATCTTCAGCACTGGCTGCAGCACCTTGCCGGGCGGCATGACGGCGGGGCCTGGGCCGCCTCCCGGAGCCTCCGGCCTGGGCGCCCGGGGTCGGGCCGAGGCGGCACGCGGGACCCGGGGAAGGCGGCCCGGGCCCTGAGGCCGGCGCGGGGTGCGAGAGGTCGGGGGGTCCCCGGCTGGCGGCCACGCCCGCGCCGCTCCGCAGAGATTCAAAACGGGCGCACCGGCCGCGCTCCCAAACACGGGCGCTCGCGTCCTGCGTCACGGCCGCGCGACGTCACCGGCAGCGACGTCATCACCCGGCGACGCGTCGTGCGCCTCTCGGTGCCCTCCGAGCCTTTGCCTCGGGCAGCTTTGCAGCTTCGGTGCGGCCGGAGGGTTGAGGTGAAGACGAGGGACGCGGCGTAGGGGTCGTCCTGCCCGAGGTCATGCTACCTTTGGGTATTTTAGCAGTGCGGCCTATGCCGGAGAGAAAGGCTGGCTGCCGCATAGATGTGAGAGCATGCGCACTGCGTGCTCTCGGGGGTGGGGTGGGGAAGGCGCGTCTGAGTGAGCATGCGCAGAGTGAACCGCTGAAGCCCGGGGCCCGAGCCCAAACATGAGAGAACGCGCCACGCGCGCCCTCCAGAAGGAGCGAACATGCGCAGAGCGTACCGATGGATGGCGCGCTGAAGGCCGGGCTGTGGAGCATGCGCAATGCAAACCCGGCGGGAACGGAGCTAGCGGCGGGGAGGAGTGAGATGAAAAGGAGGGGACGGGAGCGAGCATGCGCTTCGGGTAGCGCCGAGAGCGAGCGAGCATGCGCAGTGCGGGCCCGCCGAGCACGGGTGCGAGCGAGCATGCGCAGTGCGGGCCCGCCGAGCACGGGAGCGAGCTCGCGCGCCGCGCGCACCGGAGTTTTGCAATAAATGCCTCCAAATGGAGGAGTGGCATTTTGAGATAAAACCGGCAACTTCAGACCCCAGCGGACCTGTGTGTGCTTGGTATAGTTACCAGACAGTAATTCCTTTAAAACACTGGCCTCTCACGGTGGAAGTAAACCGCTCTGATAATTGCAAAAAAATATTTATTTTGCGGGGGGGGGGCAACCTACACGTTACGTGTGCACTTTACCTCTGAGCTCCCCCGACCGATGTTTTTGTCTTCACATAATTTTGTGCATAGAAGTTGTGCAGGGCTGGGCTGGAACTTGGGATCCTCCTGCCTCGGCCTCCCGGACTGTGGGTACTGACGGGCGCACACCGCCACGGTGAGCTTCGAAGACGTTTCTCGCGGCCTTGCCTCAGCTTGGAGCCTGAACAGAGCCGCATTCAGCCAGGGGTGCTGGTTGCATGTGCGTGGTCAGCTGGCCCCAGACTCCCCCGCGTGCCTGGCGCACACAGGCCTCCTTCAGGGCCTTCTCCACCGCGACCCCGTCTGGTTTCCGTGCGGTTTGGGGGCCGAGGGCGGCCGCAGCTGGGCACAAGC